CCAGAATGGAATTCGATGAAATTCTGCGTTCATTCGATATCATCGCGTAACTTCAATCGGTAACGAATTAGCCAAAGAAAGCATGATGGAACTACCATATGAACTGACAGTTTATGGGAATTCCTGAATCTCTGCATGACCACTTATTTCTGCTTTGATGGACAAGGATGCCAGCAACTAAGAGGAACACCCATGGGATCCCCAATTTCGGAAGCCGTTATGCAGATATTGGAGCGCATCGCACTGCGATTTATCAGCTCAAAACTCTGGATAAGGTATGCAGACGACAAATCTGTCATCGCAAAACGGAATAGAGTAAAGGCCACGCACGACTTGATCAACAGCATATTCAAGGATATCAAATTCATAGTCAAATTAAAGGAGGAGACAAGTTACCATTTTTGTATGTACCGATCACCAGAACCACCGACGGATCTCTGCAAACGTGTGTATATCGGAGGAAAACGGATACGGACCGGATATTAAACTACCACAGCAACCACCTGATGAATCACAAGAAGAGCTGCATTCAAAGTCTGTTCAAAAAAAACGGAAACGCACTGTAGCACAGATGAATTGCGGACACAGGAGGAAAATCAAATATAACCAGTGCTTAGAAATAACGGTAATCCATGGAAGGTCAACAGAAGAAGCCTAAAGAAACGAATGTTTCAGCAGCAGCAATAGCATGATCATCATCAGCAGCAGTCACGTGAGCAAGGAAGCAAACGAATAATGCTTCCGTACATCACGAACGTCTCCGAACTAACAGGAAGATTGCTACAGTCACATGGAATCGCTGTGGCTCACAAACCAATTGCCACCCTAAGGAAATTGATCGCAAGACCAAAAGAAAAAATCAATCAAGTTGACCAATGCAGTCATCTAGCAGATAAAATGCAACGACTGCGATAAAAATGAGGTCAGACAAACTGGAAGAAAGCTTCGTACAGGAATCACCGAACATAAGACGGCCGACAGAAGACATGATCCGTACTCATTGGTTTCTGCGTATGAAGATCGAGAAGTCTACCATTTCGGTTTGGAGAACGTAAATATCCTGGCACACGAAAGTACAAAAAAGGTGATAGGGTTTTTGGAAGCATGGTACTCTACAACGAATTCAATCAATCGGCACATCAAACTGGACGCAGTATACATAACACTATTGACGAAAGACCGCCAGCTCGATCGATTGAATCTGGTGGAACGTGGGACCGGACAACCAGACACGTTCACAAGACAAAGGTCACGAAACACAAGTCGGAAGGGTTTAGTTCAAAAGTCATCTGCCAGCCAAACAAGCTGAACGAGGATCGAAGTCCCAACCAATAGGATTGCTCGTCTCCACGGACAACCACGACGGCATAAAAACGCACGCACACCACCCTCAGTACACTCACACCGAGGCTGCTCTATTACTGCACGCCACGCAACTACGTACTGATGATGTCACCTCGTTTGGTAACGAAACGTTTGCCACAAAATTGCCAAACTCAGTGAACAGTTCACCCGCCAGATAAACAGGTATATCGATTACAAAGACGCTCAGTAGTTGGCCCCCTACAACAGGACATCCCACTACATGGTAGTACGTATGTGGAACTAGGTCACACCAGAATAGAGATTTGAATCTCATGGACATTATATGCATTGGTTTGGCACTCTGTAAACCTAAATGATAATAATGTGTCAGCTGTACGCCGTAACGAGGCTTCGCTGCCGTGCGACCACCACCAGTCGCACGCGGACTGAGTATGACGAGAGGACGCCCATCCATACGCGGATTCGAACCCGCGCCACAAGATTACGTGACAAGCTGATTACCACTAGGCCACGGGCCGACTTGTAAACCTACAGGTCAGAAGAAGATTGATAGGAGAAAACCACTCATAATCCCAGCTGAGGAAATAGGGGGGAATGAGGCGGTCCCAGAACACCAGGCAAAACAGAGTTCCCCGTAGTATGTGTAGGAACGGAAGCCACAAGTGATGGTTCATAAAACTTAGAGTGGAGGAGGTTTCTGTGTCACACACTCAGAGAATGTGCAACCGTACAAACCTGCGTGTAATAATGAAACGAAAAGGACTTTCCAGTCGCATGCACATTTGACACTGTGCCAACACCTAGTGAAATGCAGGCAAATGGTCAACGTACCCACTAGTAGGACATAAATAGACCAGGTGACTATAGTTTTTCGCACTTCGTTGCATCGTTCCCCCAAATGTTTGTATCGGTCACGCTTGAAACTATAGTGATTGGGCTGTGACGAGAGTCAGTGAGCCGCCATTGTATTGAGCTCGTGAGCAATTTGGGGTTAGTAGAAAAACGAACCGATGCCTCGATGATTTAAGCGTGGCCCTATGACCCTTTCAAAAGGTAGAGATTGCTGTCGATAACCTCGTCTCAAGTTCCCTTCTAGTAACGTACATCGTTGAATGGTTCCGTTACAGCAGTCACAAGTGTGACATCAAAATGAAAGTAGGGCTACCAGACACATGTGCCACGCTCCGCCACAGCAGAGCCAGTGAGTGTTGAATCATTCTGGTGCCGGGTTGGCTCAGATGAACCAGAAAATGAGGGTGACTGGTGGGGTCTGGTGCAGATGCTGTATACAATGCTAGGCCAAATGATAGAGCGCGTGAAGTATCCACGCTTGGTGACATGGGCATGAGCAGGGACTTCCTCGAACACATGCTTCGAAAGAGATACCAAGAGCTCTCGTTATCCCACAAGCCCACGCTCTAGGTCAATCCTACAACTAAGATCCAGGGTGTTGAGTACCCGAAAGTTGGTGACCCAGTGGCATGGTGACCGGATAGATCAAAACCTCAGAAATCGGTCCGCAGGGAATAGAAAAAAGCGGATGCGAAAACTTTCGTTATGAGAGTGACATCCGACACCCAAGGATATTTTCGGCAACCACGGCTTAGACAGACGCATAAGCAAGTACTACGACCAAGATAGACTCAACAACAAGTAATCTATGATCTAGCCCATTAGACCATCAGACGTAGCTTGCTCCAAGAAACTGCAGCTCGGTTCGTAAGATCCGAGTTCGTTTCTTCCAGGTGGTAGTAGCACTTGTCGCTGTATGCAAAATCGCATCTTAGTTGTGCAGTTTTTAACACTCTGCCGCAATGCTTCATGGTAGATGGTTTGTGCACATATGTGACGTCACAATGATGCGTCTGGATTAGCCCATCTCGATGCAGCGAGTCATCATTTGTATGGAGACTGACTGAATTGTGGTGTAGCCTTGGTGACAGCGTTTAACAACCGCAGGATAAGTGAAAAGAAAATAAGCAAACTTGTCCATCGCACGTTAGGACACGCACATGCCAATCGACGATGGCAGTAACAGTGCGTCGTACGGACGCTTCACTACCACGCAATGATCACCAATCGCGTGTGGGCTAAGGACAGTGCGAGGGTCATTCGGTCCCCTACGCAGATTCGAAGCCGTAATCACCGGAGTATAAAGCAGGTCTGTGATCCTATCGATCAGGGACCGGCAATCGACGATGAGCATCGCGCTGTATCACAAGTAACTACTTTTTTAGAAAGGCCGACGCTCACTCCTGTGATCCAGTGATTTTAATACACTGACTTGAAAGGGTCTCCGGTCGCATCCCAGGTGGGTAGGGATAGGATATGTACAAATGAGATAGAACGAATGACAGTGCTTCTCGGGAGACGCAGGGGATATCTAACTAAGTGTAGCTATAATAAATTGGCTTGGAAAATAAAAGTAGACGGGAGAAAAATCGAGAATGGTTCTGAAATGGGAGAACCAATTGGAGAGAAAGCGGCTTGGGTCAATGAGTTGGTAACTATGTAAAGCGGACTAGGGATCTGCTCACCAAACAAGTGCACACCGAAATCCCATTCATGGAACATGGCAAACATCGAGCAGGCTCAAGTAACGTGCCAGTTTCATCATGTCTCTTGGCAACGTAGTTTCTCAGCCACTTTAGGGTTCAAGTAGAAAAGGGCTATGAAGAAATGAAGTGCACGCTAGGCAGCATGTCCAGAAGCTGGCATGTCGAGTGTAGGCCAGACGAATTCAGCATAGACCAGCGCGAGCAGACAGTCTGCAATCAAACACCCAATGAGAGCAATCAGCGAGATTAATTCAAAGACCCATCCAGATACGTGCGATATTCTGTAGGCAGTGGTTCAAGGTTTCGCTGTCCCCTATATGGAATAAACATGTTTCTGGATCAAACAGCAACAGCGGTCGCACTACAACGCTGCCTCTGACCGGTGAGCAGATAGTTTGCAGTCCCCATAGACGACTGAATATGTGGAAACCCATACAAACTTGCTCACACGCAGTGGTCTTGGTGAGTGGTTAAATAATGATTTACACAGATAAACCGACTGACTTATCCTGAGTGAGATACCAAAGGCTGCGTAAAGCAGATGTGCAGTGGCAGTAGTACGAAGAAGGGTCAAAGCAAATGCCGAAAAGTACGAAGTAGTGCCTGTCGAATTCGGGGAGGCATACGGTGGTAGAATACAACGCTTCAGATGAGGTAATTACACTCCGTCGCAGTCACTCATCGCTGAGTGATTTGGGTTGCCGGCTAGTAAGAGAAAGATTATGAAATCGGACCCAGTGGAATCTGGTGGATGCACACTATTGATGAATCCAAATGGGACAAAGAGCCTATTCAGCGCTTTGTTGGATACGTCTGTCTGATCGAGTCTGACTGCGACGAACATACGCAGAAAGAAGAGAGGAACTTATGACTTCTAACAGGGAAGAGAGGATAAACTTGAAACCCTTATATACCTTAGAGCCTCACACAATTTAGTGAGCGGAGAGAATGAAATTCCAAAGAATTCCGTATCTAGAAACTTCATGGTAAGCACAAGCTAAAAAGGACATTAGCATGCGAGAATCAACCAAGCGAGAGCGACCGATAAAGTACAGTTTTGTCATCCAGCTGGATAGTTCAAGAGCAAATGGCATAATAAAAAGGAAAAGAACCCACCTTTTGCAAGCGCTCCATACACTCAGCTTGTTGTATTAATCTTGTTTCCAAACGTGTCTTCTCCTCGGCCAAAGTGTCTACTGTGCGCTGCAGCTTTTCGGCAGAATTAGACCAATCATCTGCGAGCGAATCAGCCTTCGAAGTGAACTGACAATACATTAGATGAAACTGGAGAGTCAGTTTTCGTACCCAGAATCCTGTTCTAACACAAATGCAAACTGGCTTTTGAAACAATGCACTTCGGAGATAAGACGGAAAACACCTAAACACGTCAACATAAAACTCCAAGGGACAATCCACAATGTGAAGTGATCGTAAGCACCGTCAGGTTAAAGAGAATGCAGATGTAAGAAGCACTGCAAAACGCGAAAGAAAAAGCTGCGTGAAGCATCCTGAGATCAAGTGAGACACGTTATACGAAGACACGTACGCGTGACAATACAGCTGCAATCATCTCATCCGTTAAATTGAGGAAACGTGTTACAAATTTGCAAAATCGCTTTGGACAATAAAATGCCACACGAGACCGGGGTTCGCACGATAAACAACAGCCCCGATTCGCCTAATTGCGTTATATGCAGGTGGTAGGTGAGATGACCTTGAAAAGCACGCATCGAACTATTAGTAGATGCGGGTCTACCAAGGAGTAAATGTGCGGACAGACGGTAAGCCCCCAACAGTGCAAATTATAAGTTATTTATGAACTTGTTTTACGTACCAATTGAGAGAAGGCATAGGTAGCTTCAGTAACGGGGCACCTAAGCGCGCATATGGACGTGGAAGCGAGGCGCTACATCGGTGAGGAGGGTCAAACAAACAAACAAGTCCGCACCACCCGATTCGAAGGAGACCACATCTGGTGCATTAGTTAATGAAACAGTGGAAGTCAGCTGTTACGGTATCTGCCTTCCTCATAGAAATAGATCGCATACAGAATGCAGCAGATGGGCCATGGGATGCTGGTAGTGACGGTGCAGGCGGCACAAGAGGGAAATATGGCCCAACGACAGAAATTGTATGCTCTAGTTTCAGGTTATTTCAGCATGAAAAACACCTGGTTACCGGAAGAAATACTTGGGAACAATTCACCTGTGAATTCACCGATATAGTGAATATATCGAAAACCTGGAGCCCTGTTGATCTGACCCGATATCCGAGTGGAAAAAACGTAGATTAATCCCTCAAAACATGTCGTTCGGACATTTTCGACTCTTTATCCTGATCCTCCACCAGACATGCCGCGTTCGCAAATGAAGCATCCCATGACGCGAATTGTGCCAACAACCGCGTTTCGCACTGAGCGAAACGAATTAGGCATGGACAACCACCAAGCACGGTAAAACCAAGGATTAACGTAAACCATCGAAAGACTTCTAGCTGGTCAGTTGGATTTACAAAACTGGTTCCACTCTAAATTCGGATTGTGTACAGATAAAATACCCAAATAACGAGGGGATAGATCAGAGGACAACGTGGTGCATTACATTTTTGAACAATAGGTGAAAGGAAACGGCTGAAACGCTAATCAGGCAATGCGTGTGAAATTACAGTGTGTTAGGATTTGATAATCACAGGCCACTTCTAAAAGGATGAACTCTGAACAAAAAGATCAACTTTTCACAAGCGTCAAGAAGGCGGAGAACAGTCACAGGGCTTACCCGAGAGGAAGAAATTGTAGGCCCCGCGCAAGTCTGCATCGCAGTGTGCGCAACGTTGGAATAGTGTTGAATTCCGATGGAGCAGACACTTGGACGATGGCTGAACGTCGCCGAGTATTCGCCTAGCTGAGAAAGGGAATAAATTTTAGCCAACGCAAGATGAAGTTCAGTATATCCTGCAAGTGGAGTCGAGAACTACGTTAGTGATTAGCAACCATGCGGTGTATTGCAAAGCCAAACGGAATGACGCGCTTGTGGGATAAGGTCAATTGACAAACTACGAAAAACCAAGAAGGGTGATCCCATTGGCAAACTGAAGCGTCATATTGTAAGCTACATTGGCAGCTGTTCCCCTACTCATTAGTGAATGTACTATTCTTCTGAACTTTCGCCCGTAAGAATGTGCTTGCAACTCTTGTAGTATTTTCCAGTAACTACATTCACCACCAATTTCCTCTGCGGTTCAAATCATGACGACTAGACCCACCAGGATCATGTATTACCAACTGGAATGAAGTGATGAAAGACGAGATCGAAACGGATAATGCGAATGACGCTTATCGTAGGTTAACAAGGAGGTTGGGCCGGGGAGAAAATAATTACGGGATGGCTTGCAAGTACGTTAGAAAAGCCTGATCTACTCACCTTGGTAAGAGGGATTTTCAGTTTCTCCAAGCGTGTTCTCAATGTTGATATTTTGTGTAACACGGTCTAAAACATGAACGCAAAAAGGAAGGGTCCATAAGCGCCAAAAGTTTATGGGATAGTTGGACAACGTGTAGGACAGAGATCTGCGATCTGGGAAGGATTCGATGATCGCCAAGGAACCGGAACTGGTACATGACCCCTGGGAAATCAAGAAGCCACAGTCAATATGAACTGCGTACTTGAGGCCGGATGTATCTGTTGGCCGCGAGAACGCTACATGGATAGATATTGTTGGGGCTTGTAAGCGTAAGCCGCCAGCCTTGCGCTCCTGTGCATTGTGTGCAAGAAGATGATCATGCGTTGGAAGTACAGCTAAAACTTTTATATGATGGTGGGTCGGAAAGCGTCCATTCGAATAGTCGGTCGGTTTCCATGGAGGATTAGACAGCGCTGTTCACCACTGAGACATCCGTGCGGCTCGTTGTGAGACACTTCGAGATAGCTCTCCCTTTGGGAAAATGACAAGTGGAAGTCCCTAGTAATTATGGGTCAGCTCTGCAGATTGCAGCTTGAATCGATGACTACTAGATGATGCGACATCGCGCGAATTGCAAAGGCGGTATTGGAGATAAGCATGGCAACAGAATACGCAGTTGTGGTACCAAGTGAACAACTACAACCAGGCTACACATCCAAATGGTATTTGTCGTAACATGCCATCAGTAATGCGAAGAAGCCGGCAAAACTCCGAGTGATTTTTGATTGCGTAGTAATACCTAGAGGAATTTCACTCGACGACCAGCTGTTACAGGGGCTAGACACTACATCCAATCTGGCTGGTATACTGATGCGGTTCAGAGCTGAAAGAGTGGACATTTCGGCAGATACTGAAGACATGTTTATGCAAGTAACCGAACCGGGCCTTCTTTGGTGGAAGAACAAAGTGGCGACATCAACATAACGAGAGCATCTCAGTAGGCGTCTGTCGTGACTTTTAATTCTCTCGATAATTAATGTCCCCAATCCTTGGCGGCCTGCCCAAAAGCAAGGTTGGCGCAGAACGGAGAGGAAGTCAATCCGAACGGGTGCGCCAACATTTAATGCTCTAGCAGCACTTCGGAATAGATCACATTGTTTTTCCACTAAAGACAGGGCACTGCATCCATATCCAACCCAAACACCTTAACCAGTCTAAATATGTTTTCAACATAATCACTGTTGCAGCAATGAACCGCAAAGGTACATTAACTAAGTTGGAAGTAGTGTCTACTATTTGTACAGCGGGATTGTTGCGTTATTATTCTAAAAGGTAACGGCGTATAGGCCAGGGAAAACAAGAAGTCACAGTCGATATTGAACTACGCTGCTATTTTACAAACAATAGAACATCATAGGGACAAGATACCTCAACAAGATTCTTAACAAAATGGGTACATGCAGCCACCAGTAAAAACAATAACGCAGCAATCCCGCTGTATAAAGGCAATGAGTCGTTGCTGACACCTGCACAGAAAGTAAGTCACAGGTCGTTGCAGTAAAGAAGCAACCAGGAAGCCAAAAATCAGAAATCCCATCATACAGTCTATCGGGGACACGGGACATGGATAGCTTGGATCGTTTGGCAAACGAAATCTCAGACATAGTCTGTCCAGGAAAGAAACAAGGACACGGGTGAAGTGAGGCAAGTTATACCAGACGTGAGCGAACAGGGTAGTTGTCTCCTAGGAGTGCAATTGGTGTGTGCCATCGTGAGCTCAACATAGGAACCGGTCAGCAGGTGAAGAATTGCAGTATGTGGCAATGAATAAATACAGAGAAGCAATCAGTAAGGTAAGAATCAAAATAGGGTTACGACACTGTGGTGGAGCGGCTCCAACTTGAAGCTGGGGTCAGGAAACTAAAGGCAAACAGGGACAGGAATCGCGGTATGCATGTAAGGGAAGCACGTTCACGACAGTAAATGTGAGCTCAACATGGGGGACTGGGATAATTGTGACAGAAACTTCAGGTCAGGTGAAGACTGACTCCGAGTGAACAAAACGTAAGTTACATTATTAAGGGGAAATGTAGCAGTCGTGGCAATAAGGAGCAGTCTGTGAAGGTTTCGATAAAGCGAAGTAATTAAACCTAGTATTAGTACGAATTTGATGAAGAACAAATGGTAGAAACATCTATGTCACCATGTTGGTCTAAGGTGACGAAAGTAGGAAGCATTTGTCTTGTCGAATCCAGTGGTGAATGCTAAAAGGCACTTCGATCAAGTAAAACTTCATCCGACATAAAAGCGGGTAGATCACTATTCCAAGGTGTTATGTTGTTGAAAACAACAGCTGCTCCACGAGAACGTATACTGTAAGGTCATCGCTGGGGAGAACAGAAACGTGTAGGGAGAAAACGGTATCTTCAAAAGTTGTGTCGTTTGTGAACTATGCAAAGGAGACTTTGGACGCAATCTGTTTAGATCATTTATCGCAGTTGGCGGTCCGTGTACAACACGTCAAGAAAGCAATGAACAACCGTTTCGTTCTAATAGGGCTGGCCAGTCTCCCGGCTCCACTTGAAACCTCCAGTCTTTGAGGTCTAGACACCAGCGGCTTATGCTACTATGGCCATAGCGACTGCTGTTGTTAAATGCTGTACAAAAGTTTCATAAAACTCGGCGGAAACCCAGGCTAACTGCAGATACTGCACTATCACTCCAGCAGTCAAAGACTGTCGGAGAACTAAGGAGTCGGAATGACGGAACGCTTATTCCAATTGAAGCAATTGATATTTGTGAAGCTTTCAATGCTTATTTAGCCGAATCAACGGTTAATGAATCATCGGACAAGCAGTGTTTGTCACCATGCACATTGGTGGAATTCAATGCACAGTGGAAGCCATCATCGTAAAAAATCACTGATTAAGTCTTTCGCTTACGTTCCTCGACTTACACAGAGCGTGATGGAGTCCTTCCCTGTTTAGTAAAATATGGTGTAATCGACTTGCCTCTGCTTTTTCTTAAAATAAGTATTATCTTTTAACTATGGAGCACATCCCACCCAATGGAAGAGCTCCGCTGTTATTCTGTTGCATAAAGATGGAGCCATTCATGAGGTTAAGTTTTCGCCTCATCAATCGCACTCCTATTACATCTAGAATGATGGAAAGAAGAGTAAAAGAGGAAGTATTTGTATGGAATAAGAAGAACATCGTAAGCAAGTCGCAGCCAGGATTTTTGCAAAGTCGATCCTGCGCAACGTGCCAGAAGGATTTCTTAAACTCCACAGCGGACGCCATAGAGGACGGGTACAGTGCTGTAGTCTCGTTTCTGGATATGCAAACGGCTTGGATAGCGCTTCATCAAGGACTACTCAAAGAGTTGAAGGCAATAGGCATTGGATAGCCAATGTTTTCTTGACTGCCTTCATATCCAGTTTGTAAACAGCAGGTGGTGCGCATTGGTGACCATACCTCCGAATCGAAAGCAGTCACCAGTGCAGTAATTAAACGAGTGTTCTGGGACCACTTCAGTTGCATCACTCAGTAATTCAGGGACAAGTGTTTATTCAGCAAAGACAACTTGGCGAAAATTACAATACGTTTGGCAAGCCAGACCCCTTGATATAAGTTACGCGTTCACGTCCATAACTAACGACCCTTCTGAGGCAATGAGATTCTTCCTTTGACTCAGTTCAACAAACGATGATTAACTCACATGAATGTCGGCCAATCCATGTTTAGCGGTCAAATCAGTTACAACCCCCTTCCATTGGCTATCTGGCTCGCTCGGTTGGCCCATCCGTTCACTTTGGTATGACACTCCTATTACAACTTCTTTTTCCTATCAGTGTAAACGATATATTCCAGTGAATAAGGTAGTGTTGCGATTTTGTTTGTTAGTGACATTAGAGTCGTGTAATCACAAAAGTGCTAATACCCAGGAAGCCGTAGGCCTCACCCAGTATGACCAGCCTGCATTTGAATTCTGGTACCAGCTGTGACAGATGTTATTTACCGCGGAGAAGTGTCATATCTTGTCGTACAAATGTCAAGTACCACCAGCCAGTCTGTTAATGCAAGGCGTATACATCTCGCAATGCAAGGCAGTTCACGACTTGGGCGCGCGATATTATGTTACCTTTAACTCGTATGAAGATTGGGAGTTTCAAGTCTCGAAGGCAATGAAAACAATTGGATACATATATTATCATGGTTATCCCATTGAATTTCGCATCTGGCGCAAAAAGCATGTGTTGCCGAGTATCGAATACTGTTCATGGGTCCAATCGCCTGGCAAGCGTTCTCCCTATAAAAAGCCACATATGTCCGCTTAACAACACTGTGACGTGGCGGATGTGACTCGCCACTAAATAAAGTCACTGCCCCTTGCCTCTCTCTGAGTGGCATTGTAATTCAAGGGTGCGTTGGGCCCCTGGTCCTATGCGGTCCTAAAGGCGTATGAACCATTTGTTTGGTCACCGGCTCCCAACGGGTTGCGATACCCTCATATCGCCCTGCTGCCTTGTAGGTTAGATCCTTGATCAAAGGCTCGGGGTGGGGCCCCCTAAGACAACCCTCTACTTCGGCCTGGGCAACCGGGTAGTATCTCGCCCACTGACGAACCATGGACTTACAACACAACCTTTCACCCGCTGTCTTGCTGTTACCATGCTATCCACTCATGTTACTATGCCAACTGCACAAGCACACGCCACCATTTTACCTACTCTTCCCGTGTACCATTCACACCCATTTTTACCTGATTCCTCTACAACGATCAATCCCACCTACACTGATGAACCTGTTCCCGTGACATCTGCCAACTCAACCACACAGTACTCAACAGAGAGTTGCCGGCCCCAAAGTCGCCTATCTTCGCTCCTGCAACCCGGAACGCAGTTCAAACTTGCAGCTTTTAACGTACGCACATTACTGCAGATCGGTCAGCAAGCTGGAGTTGCACGCACGCTAGAGACCCTTGGAATTGATATCAGCTGCATGACTGAAACACGACTCCAGGACTCTAACTCGGTCTACCAGCTGGTGTCACCGCTCCATCCACGCACCCGGTTCCATCTCCG